CCGTGGCGAATATATAAACGAAAATGAATAATGAAGGGCGCGCGTTAATCGTACCGTATCGACGGGAACGATAGAGGGGGAGAGAGAGGAAGGGCTGTGGGGAAAGGGGAGGAGGAATCTGCGCTGTGTACCATTTTCTAATTGTGTCCATCGTTAAAGGCATCGACCCTTGTTAATTATGATCCTCCGACGAATTCGGGAATTCCGCGGATCGCACCCCCGATGCAACGCGATTTCCCCCTTCCTACCTATGAACGCGCAAAAAGATCTTTATAACGAGCGGATTTTCTAAATTAATATCCGCGCGCTGTCGAATTTCAATATGAAAGAACGATATACAAGAATGAGCTAAATATTAAATTTCTCGCATTGACACGTAAAATTAACATAAATGTATAAAGGATTTGTCTCGAGACAAAATTCTAGTCGTCTTTATAAATAATGCACAATTGTTGCATAGAAGAAAAAAAAAAGATATATTTTTCTTTGGCATTTTTCAAATTGATAATATCAAGAAAGCAGAGTCTTGTTCTCTTCTTTAAATTCGGTTAGCAGTTAATACAGAGGGGGCTCTTTCTTTATTTCGGTTGATTCTGAAATGTTTGAAATCGTGCTTGCATCTCTCTTTTTCTTTTAATATTTTCATAGGAAGGGAGGAAAGATCCGTACGAACGATCGCTTTCATATGGAAGGCCCGGATCAATTACATAATGGCGCGGTTGAAACGGATGCTCTCCAACCGCGAACGACCCCTTCGCGGCGAGGCAGCACCCCCCGTCCCCCATCCACCTCCCCCGCGCGGTCGGCCCCCTTTTCGTAAAATGACTATAGAACAAAGGGTTTGAGCCTCTCTTCTCTACGGGCCCGCAGTAATTATTATGCTCTTTGACGATCCCTCTGTCTGTCAACGGTTAACGCCGTGGTAGAATCGATACTTCTAAAACTTTAATCGTTTCGCGTGCGCGTACATCGACGAACGGACGGACGCTATGCGTCGCGACGCGTCGCATCGGCCTCGGGGAAAGGGGATGTAAAAATACCCCTCGATACGAATTTGTACGGTAATCAAAGTCGCGACCTACGCGAGGGTCGTCCATTTTTCACACGTGACGTTTTATACATTCCTTTATATCTTTTTCTTTTTTTCGCGACCTTTTTAGTTTTATGGCTACACGCGGAGTTTCGTTTTATAACGAGGTGGAATCGTAAAGGCAAAAGTTTCTCGTGAAATGGGCGACGCCGCGATTTTAACGTACATCATTATGATATAAAAGCGGCAGTGATACTCGCGGAATGTATCTGAGTACTCTCTTTATAAAACGAATTACGGCGCGTGATTAGATTGTCTGTCAACATACGGTCGCGAAGGGGATCGAAGCTTATGATAATAAGGTTTCGCCCAATGGACCGAGCGGAGATGTATCACGCGGGATGTATCTTGTCTTAAATGGCAATTTGCCGAACGGTGTACTGAATATGGATGCGGTTTGATCGTTTGATACATTGTGCGAGATCTACTTGATCTTGGTCAGATGTAATCTGACTAGTGACACATTAGGTATTCAAAGGTCTAGTAGCCGCGACGATACGGATTATCGTTCAGTAACCTAAACTGTTATTCAGGAAGAATATTCATGGGGCGATATCCGTATGATGTCCAAATTCATGTGTACATGGTAGATAAAAAAAAAATGTATACACTACACACTGCCAAGCGAAAGAATTTAAGAATAACTTATTTAACGTATAGCCGAATTTGAGTATACAGTTGAAATAATACATAACAATGTGAACCCGCATCGGGAAGGACTGCAGGTGCAATTTAAATGGACCGTGTTGGCGGTCCAACACGGTCTATTTAAATTGCACCTGCAGTCCTTCCTTACCTCTCCTTTTCTCTCTCCCTCTCTCTCCCACTTCTGCAAAACAGATGTACAATCAGACATTGTTGCCAAGATTCCCGAGCATCTTCGCTCCTGATTGTATCAAATTACACAGAGAGATGCCGTTTGTCGATTTATCTGTCCGGATATTATTTCGATCAAACGAGGCGCAAAGATCGTGGATCGCGACCGCGATCTCATTATCTTCTGCAGAAAACTCATTCTTTCCGCCATCGGAGTAAGTCATCATCCCCTTTGTGCGACGCGACAAATACTTTCCTCGTTAGTCTTAATTTTGTCGCTTGACAATATATATGCGTATACAAAGACGACACACTTGGCGCGCGCCGCTATATCCGCGAAAGGGCGTTAATGATACTGCGGATACGCACCGCGGATGAATAACATCGTGACAACGAGAGCCCTCGCCGATCGTTGCCGCGGCTCCTTAATTTTCCTGCCTAATGTTCGAATTAATTTTCCGCTCGTCTTTTCCATTCTCCGCATCTCGCGTTTCCGATAAATAATAACCGTCCTTTCTTGCGTGGGAGATTGTCTGCGCCTTTACATTTAATTCATCTTGCATGAATATGGTATAGTTTAAGGTGAAAGAAAAATAAAAGCATTTGAAAGCTTTAGAATAATCGCTCGAGAGGGAGATGTCTCTTTGCATTCTTAATTTCGTGCAATTATTTTCGTCCGTTACCAATGATTTAATTTCGTGAAACTAATTTATCCAAAAATTGTTAAAATCTCTTTAAAAAATCAATGGAATAGGGATATCGAAATTTAAAAACTCAGATTTTATTAGTAAGAAAAAAGCGAATGACAATTGTTAAGTAATATCACTGCTTAAAAATTAAATTAAAATTAAAAATTTCAGATTCGTAATAAGGAGAATTTTGGAAAGCTTGGCGCATTCAACCATCGGTATCAGAAAAAAACGTCGAATTCGTCATATCATCCATGAGTGAATATAAAGGCAAGAGAGAGAAGCAATGTGCATCATCGTTGTCGTCCGTAAGAGGAAATGTAGCCAACTGAAATTCTCGACTTTTCAACAAACATATTTTTTTGAAGATATCGCGTTTCGTCACATATACATCTATAGAGAGTAGTAATGCCGCGGTACTCTTGGCCCAAGCAAAATCTCAGTCCGCAGGAATGACAATAGACTGTCAGATAATGAATCCCCACTGTCACCCCCTATACTGCCGCGCGTCCTAAAACCCTCAATCTACCGTGTTCTCTTTCGACGCCCCCTTTCCTCCAACCCCTTCCATATTCACCCACCTCTATCTCTTTCACCCTTTCTCCCTTCCCCCTCCCCCTCCTACGCTCGTCTTTCTCCCTCCGCAGCGATGGATTCGAGAAAGTCGCGTTTTATCCCCAAAAATTATATTTGCAAAATAAAAACGCAAACGTCCTTACGGAAGATTTCAGCAATTAATTAATATGAAACAAAGAGATCATCGAATTAATCTCAGATCTTATAAAATATCTTTTATCGTGTTTAAAGAATTGTTTCATTTTATAAATTATTAGCATTTGATGATATAGTAAAGTATAGAAAAAATAAGCTGTTTATATTGTAAAAGATATAAAATATGTCTCGTGAAAAGTATGTAAGTATATATTGTGTGTTTAAAAATCCTCGCGTTTACTTCTAACTTTTTTTGGAAGTTCGATATATTGGCGAAAGCTGTCACAAATTTGGTGCCAGTTATATCTGTCGCTAAACACATCCCTCGCGCTTTCCACCCTCCGTTCTCGAGTAGCAAACAGGACTATGACCGAGTAGGCGAGGCGTCCACTTAGCGCTAATGCCCCTTTTATTGGTCAAGATTTCAGTCAGAAGATGAGTACGCGCGCGCTTCTGTACCTAGATCGCTATCACACATCAGTCTTCGAATAAAATTAAACCATCGTATTAATTGCCATCTATTCAACATAATTGTTGCAATTTTCATAGATAGATTTACTAAAAAGAGCAATCGTATTTCTTTAATAAAAACACAAAACTTAACAGCAAATTGTAGATTTTTTGACTTATTGAAAGCTTGAATTATATATAAATGTCTAATTCATTTTATTTCATGAATATAGATGTCTAATTTATTTCATTTCATAAATCATTAATATTTCTTCAATTTTATACATACATTATATATATATAATTGTTAATCTTTATCGTTCGCTTAGGGACCATCTGTTTTTTTTCTTGTATAGAACATAATTCATATTTAAAGCTAACACGGAATACAAAAATTCTTTTTTTACGCATGCTGAAGGGAACGAATGGAGCAAAGCCGTACAAAAAAAAAAGAGGGAAAAAAAGAAAGAAAGAATGGCGAAACGTGTAACGTATCGAACTGCATGTTGAAGTCGCTGGGAGCGAGTTCGAAAAAAAATCACGCGGAATAACTCGAGGCAGAAAAAGCGAACAAAAAAATTTCCATAAAAATGCGCAACCGCACGTATAATCCGGATGAAGCTTAGTATCGTGCGAATGGATGTAGCGCCCACTGGAATGGTTGAAAGGACTGGAAATTGGCAGATATAGAGATGATGACAATCGCATAAAACGAGACTGAAATCCACGAATTTGGGAATCACATAGCATTAATTTCAAATCATATCTATTAAAATAAAGATCGCGTTTTTCATATCATATTTTTTAAGTAAATTATAAATAAAATTATTTTTATATAGATTTTAATTTACTCAGAGCGAAATATATTTTAACATGCAAAAATATATTGAAAATAATTATAAAAAATTATAGAAATTATAGAATTACATTTATACATTTGGTACAAATCGAATAATAAATAATTAATAACAATTGCTAAAAGAGTCAGGTTTTTTTCCTTATTCTTTACTCCTTAGCTGCGACGCATTTTAAATGAAAATCATCCACTATATGCAAGGTGATAGTATCCTACAGTATGTACAACAGAACTGATGATCGATTTTCAAAAGCGCATATATAAGCATTTGCTGTCCGCAAATGAAAGTTTACTTTTTAAAGATGCCTTTCACAGCTAAACAGTTTAAATAAGAAAGGTGAGAAAAATAAAGCGTATGTTGCAGTCTTCTGAAAAAGAAACAGAAATGGAAAGTTGCTAATGCATAGGCTGTAATCTTATTTTCATAATATACATTTGTGAAATAATCAAACTAACAAGAGCTGTCATCTAGTTGTATATCTTAAACTTACATTTAACAAGTAAATATAAAATATATTATAAGAGATCGAAATTTTTCTTTTTGTAAACGTAATGTTTTTTTCAGATTGCGACTTAATCAGTATGTATCATCAATAAAAATTAGATCACAATAGTACAGTTCTTCGCAAAAAGCGAATTAGGCATTTTCATTGGCCGACATTTTCAAACCTTTTCTTGTTCTGAAATATACAAGATGCATAAGTGTAACATTTTCCCCAATGCATTTAAGAAGAAATTAAAATTGTATATTATGCAGTTTCATATGAAAAACTACATGATATTAAAATGCTATCTTACAATTTGTTTAGACGTTTTCAAATCTGCGCTGGATGTACGTGTTTTAGATCTTTCTTGCTCCAATTGAGCATGTAAAGAAGTTACTTCGGATGTTAATTCGTCTCGTATTTCTTGCAGTTTTGCTACTTCAGCTAATACAGATGCTTTATCCTTCACTAGGAGAAAATGATAATTACATATATATATATACATACATACATATATATTCTTAGTATTCTTAGTATCGAGAGATTAATGTGTATCATTTACTTTATAAAAATGCAATACTCACTCTCGCCATGTGATAATATTTGATATAGTTTTTTATTTCTTTCCTTAACTTGTGTTAATTCTTCTTTCAATGTATGTACTTCGGTTCTCAATTGGCTGATTATTTCATCACGTTTTTCAATCTCTACTCTTAACTGCGCAGACGTTATATCGTCATCAATTTTATTTAATCTAGCTTTCAGCATATCCTTTTCTTTTCCCTTTGTTATTTCTTCTTTTGTTTCCTTCTCTACCCTCTCAAAAAACTCTGCGTCTATTTCTGCAAGAATCAGAAAAAGTATCACTTAAATATTTTCTATTTCTTTTTATACTATATTTTTTCCATTCACATTCCCAGATAAACTCATTACTTCATTACATAAATCATTACCTTTTGATTTATTGTCTACAGATTCACTTGGTAGTATTGGTGATGGTACTATATTTGATGATGACAGACTATTAAATTCTACTAGGGACATAGTCGCCTTCTTTGACTTTTTACCAGACTTTTTAATCTGTTCTTGATCTTTTTCATTCTTTGCTGTGCTGACTAATTGCTCTTCGTATGCCAGTTTTGATAGCAAGATGGCTTGGTGTAATTCCTGTTCATATGCTTCCTCGATAGCCTTAGGGAAATCATTATTGCATGATACACGAGACAAAATCATAGATAATTACAAAATATTATAAATGTAAAACTGTAGATAATTATGGATATTGAATTATATATTAATTTTAAAATTAAAATTATATTAAAATTAGATCTCTCAAAATTTATACAACTTTTATCATTTCTTTAATACAGCTTGTAAAACTTATGTTAACAACTTATTAACTTATTAAAATTACTAAAAATTTATTATTAAATAAAAAAAAAGAGAGAAAATGCTTAAGAGATTTCTAAAACACTTATTCTAACATCACAAATTTTTGCAACAAAATTAGCAAGTAAATTATTAGATAAATAAATCTTACATATAAAATTCCATCAAAGATTTATACTTTACCATCGTATCTTTTTGCTTCCACTGTTCCCATTGCTGATCATCATTATTCATTTTTTTCTTCTT